ACTATGCCTGAGCAGGGCGAGGCCAGAGGAAACTCTGGTGGAGGCTCGCAGCGATACTGACGTGCAAATCGTTCGTCAGACTTGGGTATAGGGGCAAAAGACTAATTGAAACATCTAGTAGCTGGTTCCCTCCGAAGTTTCCCTCAGGATAGCTGGAGCTGTTGAACAGTTTTATCGGGTAAAGCGAATGATTAGAGGCCTGGGGGGTGATACACCCTCGATCTATTCTTAAACTTTAAATAGGTAAGATTTCGGGGTTGCTTAGGCGAACCCCGAGGATCAATAAAAGCTACAAGTGGGCCATTTTTGGTAAGCAGAACTGGTGATGCGGGATGAACCGAAAGTCGAGCTACGGTGCCAAACTGCATGCTAACCCAGACACCACAAAGGGTGTTGATTGATACAGACAGCAGGACGGTGGTCATGGAAGTCGAAATCCGCTAAGGAGTGTGTAACAACTCACCTGCCGAATCAATCAGCCCCGTAAATGGATGGCGCTGAAGCGCGCGACCTATGCTCGGCCGTCGCGGCGATTCTGACGCCGCGACGAGTAGGAGGGCGCGGGGCCTGCTGCGAAGCTTGGAGGGTGAGCCTGGGTGAAGCGGGTCCCGGTGCAGATCTTGGTGGTAGTAGCAAATATTCAAATGAGAACTTTGAAGACCGAAGTGGAGAAGGGTTCCATGTGAACAGYGCTTGGACATGGGTCAGTCGACCCTAAGAGATGTGGAAACCTTGTATCAAGGGCGCACTGCGCGCCGCACATCAAAAGGGGGTCGGATTAATATTCCCGAACCGGGTTGTGGAGGTGGACGGTAAGGTAAGCAGCTCCGAAGATGCCGGCGGGGGCCGTGGGGAGGGTTCTCTTTGCTTCTTGACGGCTCGCCCACCCTGGAATCGGATCAACCGGAGATAGGGTGCAGCGCCCGGCAAAGCACCACGCGTCCTGTGGTGTCCAGCGTGCCCCCGACGGCCCTTGAAAATCTGGAGCTGCGGGTAACTCTCACGCCCGGCTGTACTCATAACCGCATCAGGTCTCCTAGGTGAGCAGCCTCTGGTCAAAGGAAGAATGTAGGTAAGGGAAGTCGGCAATAT